GCGACCATCCAGCCAGTTCCTTATCCACCGAACAGTCCACCCATCAAATCCATAGCTCTCCAATTTAGAGAGAAGGATGTTGTGCGGGACCGTGTCAAAGGCTTTGCAGAGGTCCAGATAGATGACGTCCATTGGTTTTCCTTTTTCCACTGTTGTTGTCATACCATCATAGAAAGTCACTAGGTTTGTCAGGCAGTAAATTGTGTTGATTAAAAAACTACAGTATGTTCCTGATGTCCATCCAGATGTGGCAGCTGAACTCATTACTGGAGGGACAAGGAGTTTTAAGCATATTGCTTCTGTAGTGTATCTGAAAAGTCTAAGAAATACTAAATTAACCTGTATGTTTTATCTACTTGCTAGTGTGCTGAGATGAAACAAGCTTGTAGTTGAGATGAGTGTGTAGGTACTGGGGTGGAGGTGAGGGACTGGGAGAGGGCAGATTAGGCTGGAAGTACGTACTGGGGTGGAGGTGAGGGACTGGGAGAGGGCAGAGCAGGCTGGAAGTCAGCAGGGGAGGCGGGTGTTGCACTAGATGGCGTGTTCCCTCTGCTTTTCATTTCTGTCTTCGGAAAAACCTTCAGTAGTCAGGTAGCGAAGCTGTCACATTACTCATCTTCGATGACTAAGGGGAAAAAAGAAACCTATTATTCTTCCAAGCAGTTAATAAGAGTTTGTGGAGAAATTTTTTCGGATTTTTCCTGGTTTGCAGAAAATTGGTATTTCTAGGTTAGCTTACCAGTTATCAGATGTTTCTTCTGAAGCCTGAAAATACTTTGTTACATGTTTGCTTAGCACAAGGTACATGTGCTATACATAACATACCAGTCCTCTTAGTCTGTAACTATTTAAGTCAGTAAACTTTTTGGACAAGGGTAGATGAGCAAGAAAGCGTAATATCTAATGTTCAGTGAATAAATAGTTCTTCTATGGAGCTGGCAGCACTGGTTTTTAATTCTGCTGTATCTCATTTTGAAAAGGATCTTAACAGCAGTTGTGAAACTAAATTTTTACATTACCATATTTAGGCCTTTTCTACCATAGTGTTGGGAAAGTCAATTAGATGTTAGTTTTCTAGCTGTTAATAATTTTTTTTTTTTTTTTTTTACTAATGTTGGACCCTTAAAAAAAAACAGCCTTCTTGCTGTATAGACTGCTGTCTGACAGTGATGAGCTCAAAAGACTGATATGCAAATTGCCTGAGCTTTGGTATATTTATAATCAGGACTTCTTCCTTATATAAGGAAGCTATAGTTCTTAAGTTAATTCTTAAGTAATGCTAGCACTGTTCTGTGTAGTTGTGGTTATACTGGGATAGCCATTTCTATGCTGAAAAATTGAAATACTGTCCTAGTATAAGGCAAACCAATGTAACTGACACAAAACCTGCAAGAATGCCCATTGTGGATTTGCCTGTGTCAGAATTACTTGATTTAGCATTGCTTATCAGGAATTGTAATGTCATGTTTTACAACTAAAATGCATATATGAATATTGTAAGTCTTTTTTTTTCTTTCTTTTTTTTTTCCCTGAGACAAATGAAACAATTGAATGCTGATACAAATTTTTATTTCAGTGATGAATTCTAGCTGCTAATTAGAATCAGTAAGAGTTACAGATACAGAATACAGTGATACTTTTTCTCTGGCAGCCTTATAAAATTCAGATGTTATCTTAGTTTCTTCCTCCCACCGAGCGTAGTTGTAATGTTTTTCTTTACCATATGTAGTCTGCATTTCCCATAATTTATCTACCTACTAAAAAGGAAGGACTTGTCAAACTGTGATTTAAATCAGTAGTGTTTTGTAAAACGTAGACATAATTGAATCCCAAAGTAAAATAGAAGCGGCTTGCTGATTTGCCATCTTTGATTATCCTATTCATTCATCAGAATGGTCTCCTTGTTTTTCACCTACCCTAAACAATAGTTACTTTTCCTTTTATCTCAATCCTCTTTCTTGTCTGTGCTCCTTAGAAGGAGGAGACTGGATAATGGTAGAAGAGAAGCACCTGTCCTACCATACTGAAAATTGCAGCACATACAGGTGGAAAGGGTTGGTGTGTGTGTGTTAGAGAAGAATTGTGGAGGTTGTGAGGATGCAGAATGGAAGGATACCACAAGGCAGGCATACAGAGAGTTGTTGCCTGTGTGCCTGTTTTGACTACTTGAATTTTCAGGGTGTAAGTGGTGGCACAATATGAAGAACGGAGTTCAGGCTGTAAGAGGTGAAATCGCTTATCTTACTCTTAATTTCAAATTCCATTGCAATTTGGTAGTTCTTTTCAGGTTGGTTGCTTTTTTGTTTTTTGGTTGGTTTTTTTTTTTTAATTTCTTTGATTGATTGGGGGAGAAGACTGTTTCCAACAACTGCTGTAAAATGCTCTGTATTGTTTATAGTAACTGCAGAATATTCAGACCATTGTGTTTTACTTCAAAGCATAAATATACTAAAACTTAATGGTGCGTTTCATATCTCACAAAAGCTCAAAACAATGGTCTTACACAAGCTTTAACTCTGGATGCATTTATAGTTTGTGGTTTGTGGTTATTTTTAGATAAACTATAGCTTGCTTTTAGTTGTAGAACAAATTTTATTTTTAAAACCATGTTTTCTTTGAACCGTCTTTAAAAGAGAAAATGGTCATCCACTAGATTTTGTTTGAAAATGCTACTGGAAGCTCTGTAGGGCATGTTGACTTGCTATCACTGCTGAAAGTTACCTAATTTGCAGTGGAGTTTTTTAGCATGTGTTTAAAGGAAAAAAGGTTGTGAGGGGGAGCAGCTTTTACAGCTTTGACCTAAAGCTGGTATCTCAGTGCTGACTTTAGCTCAAACAAGTTATGTATACAGAGATGAGCTAAAAATTGGAGGGCTTTGCTTAAATATCGTGGTAGCATGAGATCTGAGTGGCACACTGTTAGGCTTATCTTCAGAGCTTAAAGATCAGTTGGATGAGTCTTAAAATGTCTTGTAAGGAGGAGATAAATATGGAAATATTTGTCTAATTTTAATGTTTCAACTCTTCCAAGCCTGGAAGGTTATCATGTTCATATCATGCTGTAAAGAAATTAGCTGTGGCATTAAGAGCCTCTGTACTTGGGACCGTTGAGGCAAAACTCAAGAATTTCTTCTGATGAAGAAACCAAAAGGAATTCCACGGCAGAAAAACTAAAATGTTCTTATGACCCTAGCTGAGGGTCCTGAATGTACACATAAACATAAATCAGCTTAAATCTGTTCTTAGTTGTTGTTGTATCTGATATAAACATTTTGAAATGCTTACTATTTTCCGTGTAGTCTGACGTAGCCTCATTTTTATTGTTAAGAAAAGCCCTTTGACAAAAGACCAGGAGTACTGAAGGTATAGGCTTACTTGAGAAGATACTGGTAGGTGTTTGTATGAACGTATATACCGGTCTTCTGACTATTCAAACATTTATTATGCAGTTCCATAGATTTTTTTTTTTTTTTTTTTTTTTTGCCAAGGTTTTGTATTTTGAACAGCCTACATTTATTAGGCACCTTCAATATTTTTGTGGAAAGAGCATTGCGAATATACAGGAAAAATACTTGTTTCCAGTAGGTCTTGGAATAATGAACACGAACGAAAAAATGCGTTCAGTCACTTGGCCCATCATTTTTACAGTTTGGAAGTAGCTACACGATGCTATAGAAATAAAATCATTGCAGAATCCAAAGATCAGTGAAGTGACACGCTAATTAGAAATTTATGCTATGTTCTTCTTCATTAATTGCTTAGGTATAAGAATGGAGTAATCAATCACGTTGTCATTGTGTATTGAATAAAAAACAAATGAATAATAATTGCAGTAGCCAGTCTGTCAGACGCCACATGAGGAGTTGGTGGTGATCAAGCTGCCTATGCTTTTGTATAGCTGCTGACAGATTTAAGGGACCATCTCTTTCATAACATGATCTCATAGACTGTTTATCCCTTTGCTGTAAGTATAGCTTGTTTCAACTTCAAATAGTAGCTTGATAGACAAGACTGTAAGATTCTTGAGGATGTAAGTGGACTTTTATCCCCGTGGAAGGCATGGCTGCAAGTGTTATGGCAGCTGCTTTGTGGCAGGGAGTAAATTGTGAATAAAAAGGCTTCGTGTCGCTGCAGCTTATGTTTGAAGAGGGAAAACCCCTAGACACCCATGTTTTTAAGATCCTTCCATGTTAAATTGCCTACCTGGTTTGTTTGCTCTTTGTTATCGCTTTGTCATTTTAATATTGTGAAGGGTAGTAGAGAAGGGACTGGGATTTGTATAAGAATTGAGTTTCTTACACTGTTCCCCTCACCAGTCATAGAGAAGTATGTACCTATTGACACTTTCTGTCAAATTATTTCTGCTCGTACTATTTTTCTCCCAATGGCTTTGGTTATAAAAATGTATTTTCTGAGTAAGATATTAAAAACATTTGCAGGTTGTTTCAGTTACTCTTTTTTAAATAAATAGACTAAGATCTGACTAAGATCCTACAGATAATTTTACTTTCTTTCCAGATACGGTTAAAAAACTTCAGGACCAAAAGCATGACATGGAAAGAGAGATAAAGAACCTTCACAGGAGACTCCGGGTATGTTAAGACCTAAAACCACAATAAATTGTAAACTTGGAATGTCATAAGACCTGCATGTGAAATTGTGAAAAGGTAATATGATGAGATGTAATACCATTAAAATAATTATCTCTGAGATACAAGCATCATATGGGAATATATTTACTAACCTACAGAGACTAAAGAATTCACTTCTGAAAAATCCTCAGAATCACAAAGATACGGCGTTGGGCTTAGGACAAAACGTTTCTGTGTCTTCTGATGCACAGATTAATACTGCTTTTTTTTTTTCCCCCTCCACTTTGAATATTTTCTTTATTTCTAGAAAAGAAATTAATGACCTTGGAATTCTAGTTATTTCCAGCAAAACTTCTTCAATTTAACTTGTAAGTTAGGTTATGCATAATGCCAGAGATGAGGGCCTTCATCGTTCCTGTAAATTGTTTCCTGTAACAGCATAGAGAAAGTATGAATAATACGGATAACTTTTATTTTTAACTTCAAAATTCTTGCTGCTGCTTTAAATTTAAAGTTTTATTTACTTATAGGAGGAGTCAGCAGAATGGCGTCAGTTCCAAGCTGATCTACAGACTGCAGTGGTTATAGCAAATGATATAAAGTCTGAGGCCCAGGAAGAGATAGGAGACCTGAAGCGTAGATTACATGAAGCTCAGGAGAAAAATGAGAAGCTTACTAAAGAATTGGAGGAAATAAAGTCACGCAAGTATGCAAAAGACAACAGGGATATTGTCTCTTTTGGAGGGGGGGTACAATTTCGGAAATCCGGTATCTTGACTACTACTGAGACTCTGGAAGTTCATAAATCCTCTCACTGTGAGGATCTGTATTTCAACAAGCTGCTTTACACAGGCTTGCAGGGGTTGAAATAGGTGAACTTATAAGAACAATGTTTGTCTCTTTATACTGTATACTTAATCTATCCAAGAATATGCAGTTTGGTGCTTTTGCAAAACCAGGTTGAAGTGGAGGATTTTTCCTATTTAACAGCTGGACGTGATTTAACTTCCCTCAGTGTGAAAAATAAGCAGTGTTGGCTTTTCTGTTCCATCATTAATACTTCTTATTAGCAGCCAAGGCTTCTGGTATGGTTAAAAAGATAGCTGGATTTTTACCTGAGAAGAAACCTTTACCTAATTCTGCACATATCTTGTACAGTTTTCTTTTCACTGATAATTGTTTCTGGAAATAATTAGAGATGCTTTGTGTATGTTTTTGATAAAAAACAATTCAAACTGTGATGTATTGTGCCTTGAATTAAGTGCTACAGTTATTTAGAAACTGAGTTATATGTCTTTCAGAAGGAGTGAAGTCCTCAAATCCACACAATAGGAACATCTTGGACAGCACCATTTGAATCCTTACTGCATTGTCTCTAGGGATTGAATACATGTATAGCTTACAATAACAGTAATGAAGTTTATGATGTGTATATACTAAACAATTTTTTTCCACATGGATGGGCATTTTATAGGCTACATGACACTTAACCCAGCATCCAGTAGGGTATGAGGTAGTGCCGGCCATGGAACTTGGGGAAGAGCTGATGGTAGGAAGAACAGACTACATTGAAAGTGGAAAAATTATCTGGATGAATGAGTGGTGGGTGTAAGGCATCTTATCTGAAGTAAGATCACCAAACTAAGTAATATGAATGATTCTTACTAATACATTTCAGCCAGAATTATAATTGTTCAATTAGTGCTTGCAAGTGAACCTTTGAGGTTACAGTTGCACTTCAGAAGGTAGAATTGGCTTGCTGATTCCGGTCAGTATATTCATTATTATTTATACAAAAGCATCTTTTGACATTTGATTCATTGCAGACAAAGGAAAAAGAGGCAACTGAATCAGATTTCTTGGAAGTGGTACAGCTGCTGTATTGGAGGGAAGGTGGTAGGATAGTCTATTACAGTGTCTGAAGCAAGAATCAATCAATGTTTAATTATTGCAAGAGTGTAGAAAATAGCTTGCTTTAAACACTGTGAGTGACACTGAATACAATAACCACCATAAATATTCTGTACTAAAAATCTAAATCTTTTTTTGAGACTGATTCATATGCTGCCTAAAGGCGTATGTCAGAAATGTGTTCTTACCTCCTTAGTATTCATTTAAATTGTTTTCTGTTCATGCAGGTGGGAAAAAATTCTCTCTGAGCTGATTATTTTCCTGTGAAATGGTGAAATACTTAATGCTCAATTTTTTCCATCCATGTGTACATGTGTGTGTTTGAGAGATAGGAGCAGAAATTAAGCTTTAAATCAAGTATTGATTTGATAGAATTTTCATCTGGTGCTTAAGCTCTCTTGCTGAAAAATAGGAAGCATTTACAGTGATAATTTAGGTTGATTATTTCTAAATTACAGTGGAAAGAAAACTAGGTTAATGTAATGACCGATTTGGACCATAGATTTTAATTTGGCTTCAAATTTATGTTGATTTTTTTAAGACTTTCCATGTTAAAATGTTTTTTTAAATTCCTTAAATGGGCTGCCTATTGATTTCAGGCAGGAAGAAGAACGTGGTCGAGTATACAATTACATGAATGCTGTAGAGAGAGATTTGGCAGCTCTAAGACAAGGAATGGGCCTGAGTCGCAGATCATCCACCTCCTCAGAGCCAACTCCTACTGTAAAAACACTCATCAAGTCATTTGACAGTGCCTCTCAAGGTAATTATTTTCAATTGGTGTAGTAGCTGTACCAAGTTATGATTTTGCATATGTTGACATAGACACTTCTAATGGCTTAGCTAATTCAAAAGGTAAGTTGTTTTATTGTACTGTCGTGACCTGTGAGTGATGGCTGAAACAAACCAACCTAAACTAGATTGCACAATAGATTATTCTCTGCGGTTAAGTGCAAGCATCTTTTTTTTGTCTTTATTTTTTCTCCACTGTTGCATTGCCAATGACTCATATGCTAGACACTTTGATTCGATGCGCCCGTATATTAGAAATGCATAAACACATATTACACACGTAATTGGAGCTGGAAGCACAGCTGATTTCAGCTTGACTATTAAAATATGAGCTTAATGTGCCAAATTAAGCATTCTAAAAGCCATGTAATAGCTAGAGCTGAGTTTGTTTCTTTTAATAACTTACATTCTTATAGTCAAAGTGCTGATGAAAGTTAAAAATAAAGTCCAGCCAGTATCACCTATTAAAAGATATAGGGAATATTTTCTAAAATGAAAAGGATTTTACTATTGAGACAAGACAATAGACTTTACTATAAATCTCTGATTGTGGAAACAGGTGATGTCCTTTTCTGTAGATGAGCAGTATAAGGAATGGTTCTATTTCCATACTTGTTCCCTTTGTTCATAGGTATTTACAAATTTTTATTTTCCGAGTGTTAATTTTGAAGGCTTTTTTAATCTGTTTTTGGATAAAGGTTCTTTCTTGCCAGAGTTATTTTGGTAAAATGATAAATCACCTCTCCCTTCTTTTTAATCTTTTATTTCAAGCTTCTGTCTGCCTTACTCCTCAGCATTCGTGTCTAATCATGCTGTTAAATAATCAGATGACTGATTCACTAACTCAGTATTTGACTGTTTTCATACATTTCTAAACATGTTATTTGTTTAATCCCAACATTTCAGGGACTGTCATGTAATATGTAGTACCTGTGGACTTTGATTAGAAATGAAAAAGGGGAAGGAGGTGATATATGTTATCTATCTTGTTGTACTGGCACACCCAGGAGCCTGCTACCATCTCTTTAAGTATCTGGAGATGAGAGAACTAGTAATGCCATCGTTTACATCTGCCAGGGTAATAGTATCCTGCACCTTAGCCTTGTCTACCCCCAGTAAACTTCTTTTTTTACCATGGATGATATATTCAAGACAAAATTAATGCAATTAGAGGAGTATATGTGTAGGCATACTTTTAAATGATTTTGCAGTCAGTTACTAATTGAGATTCTGAAAGATGTGATCTGGTAAAACTAGTGGTACAAGGCAAGAGTTCGCTGTAACAGCCAGTCTCCTGTTTCACTGCAAAACAGTGCAATGCTCACGATGGCTTCCTTTCTGTGTTTCTGCTAGTTCCAAGCCCTGCTGCTGCCACAATTCCTCGCACTCCCCTGAGCCCAAGTCCCATGAAAACTCCCCCGGCTGCTGCTGTATCCCCTATGCAGGTATGTGTTTTATGACTGCACTTAATCCTTCTTTGTAAAGAAGAGCATCTGAAACTGCAGGTGGTAATACACAAAAATTGGTTGACTTTGTGAGGACATAATGATAAAATGTTGCCTCAAGGAAGTAATTACTAAAATGTTCAGTCTAACAAAAAGTCTTTTCAGTGAGACCCATGTTGTAAATACAAAATTTGGCATAATTTGGAAGTTCTTGTTAAGTATTCCCAACCCTTACTGTTCCTGTGCTACTGAGAAGCATGGGAGGAAAACTTTATCTGCATTCCTTAGTTTTAGAGTTGCTGTTTGTCAATTCTTAGTCCTGTGGCTGGCATGGAAGCAGAAATAATCTCCTTCGGGCAAGGGACTGAGATCTGTGCAGAATCTGTCATCAGTCATCAGTATAAATGGATCCCATGGTGCATTCGATAGCAGACCTGACCAGAGAGGAATGAAATCACTGTGAATTGATTATCTTTGTTCATTTTGTACTGACTGAGAGTTTGGCCAGTTGGTGATTGTACTGTTTTCTGTCCTGTCCCCTCTTCAGCTGCTACAGAAGCCTAGGTACATTAAGATTGCATCATCAGTACTCTTAATACTCAGCTTTATAGATCACTGCTGGTTTTATTATGTCATTGTGTGAAGTGAGATTTTGGCAAAAGCAAACAAGTTTAAGGACAAAGCGGATGGAACCAGATTCACAAAGAAAAATCAAAGAATGTACTATGTTTTATTCCTTTAATGTCAGTAATTCTCCTGTTGCCTTCAAGATATTATGAACCAGAAATACCAAAACTTGATTTTTACTATTGGTCAGCGTAATGTTTTGGTAATAATTTTTCTCTGTGTGCACTGAAGAATCTGTATCCATATTGGCTTTTAGTGCTCAAGGAACAATACCTGGAACAGACTGACTGTTCTCCTATGCTCAGACTAGTGCAGCTTTTATTCATTTAAGAATTAATTTCATTAAATAAATGAATAGCAAAGAGAAAGAATTAAAATGTTTTTTGTGAGAGCATCTGCTATTTCCTGTAGCTCAGTCACTCTTGATGGAGGTTTTCTGAAGTAGTTAAATGTGACAAGTTCTCTGACAGATGTTTTGTTCCTACCAGTCTGTCTTTATATTTCTGTTTATTTCACAGAAGCATAGAATAATTTGGTTGGAAAAGACCTTTAAGATCAAGTCCAACTGTACCTCTCCACCCCTAAACCATGTCCTTAAGCACCTTGTTTACCCGTCTTTTAAATACTTCCAGGGATGGTGACTCAACCACTTCCCTGGGCAGCCCGTTCCAATGCTTAACAACCCTTTCTGTGAAAAAATTTTTCCTAATATCTAATCTAAACCTCCCCTGGCACATTTATTTCTGTGTTCCTGTAGGAAGAGGCAGACTTAATCTCATGTTCTAAAAGGCTAGACCAGAGCTTTGGCAGACAGCAGACTTTTTGATGAAGCTTAAGGCTTATTTCACTTTATTTACCTGTAAATTAACCATGAACCAAAGTAATCTCTTAGAATACTGCAAACCTGCTCAGGTTTACAGCTCTTCTTTGAAGTTCTCAATCTGCCAGAATTTTTTCAATTTTGAATTCAACTTCTGGTATAGAATCAAGTCATTAACAGCTGGATACTCATTAGTGCGAAACATTGCCTGAAAAGCAAAGGTGAGGGCGTGTAAATGAAAACAGCTTCTGTTGTCTTTTTGAAGGCAGGTGGTTTTCTTGAAAGTAAGTTCTTAAGGGTGGATGTCATGAGGATGGAGCCAGACTCTTCTCAGTGGTGCCCAGCGACAGGACAAGGGGCAATGGGCACAAACTGAAGCATAAGACGTTTCAGTTGAATATGAGGAAGAAACTTCTTTACTTTGAGGGTGACCGACCCCTGGCACAGGCTGCCCAGGGGGGCTGTGGAGTCTCCTCCTCTGGGGATATTCAAACCCTGCCTGGATGAAGTCCTGTGCACCCTGCTCTGGGTGAGCCTGCTTGAGCAGAGGGGTTGGACTGGATGATCTCCCGAGGTCCCTTCCAACCCTTGCCATTCTGGGATTCT